CTCCCTGTTGTCAAGGGGAGGAGAAAGGGGCGTGTCCGAGGCTCCCTGCTAAATAACTCCCTGGTGATGGCAGGATTACAGAGGGAGGTCCAGGCTCTTTTTTTTCAAGTGAGTAAACAGGCGTGAGTTCAGTTGATGACTCATCACATGACCAAGGTGCCGATGAATGAAGTCGCAGCGAGAAAGCTCTGGCTGTTCGTTGATTGGACACTTGGGGTCCTGTGGAGAGACATCAGGACTGAACATTTTCCACATGAAGAAAGTGACTGACAGCGGGCCAAGGGGAATAATGTGAAGACGTTCCACTGACTAAATACTGGACCAACGCAGAGGACATGAGGAATTACTGACTGCTGAGGAAGGCACAGACAGGCAGGGGGTTGAAGGAAAAGGAGACAAGTGGAGGTGAGTGGAGCAGTCCGTTGAGCCTTTCACTTCCTATGACTGACTTTTTGAGTTCTCTTTGATCCCCTTAAACGATCTTTAGGCGGATGAAATGCATGCGTTGTGAGTTTAAACCAATACTCTCATTGCTGAGAAACATGTTAGATGTCTTGCATGTCATGTTTACAGCTCGATAGATTTTACATTTGTTTTAAAGCTCTGCCTGAGGAGGGATTTAAAGAAGATCAACTTAGAGTCACCTCCTGTCATCAATGACTTGTTGAATAGTGTGCCGTGACAGTGGTGTGGAACGAGGAACTCCAGAACTGATGACTTCCTTATCAAATGCAGTTGTTTCGTAACAGGATCTGTTATTATTCGAGTGTAGATCAGGGGAGTAATGTGAAACCATTGTCATGACCCATGCGATTGTGCACGGGTGTCGTCTTGAGTGTACATGAGACAATCAAAACTTGAACCCACATTTAAAGAAACTCTCCGTAGCTCTACTTGAGGTCAAAAACTCCACAGGGAACCTTTCATATTCCTTAATATGGACTTTAATTCAAACGCACTCCTTCATTTCTACAAAGCTTCTGGGATATGTAGTACACGGTCAAGTGATGTGCAGACTGACTCTTATCAAAGTGTCAGTTCCTTTGCGTTAATCCGTGTGAAAGTATCAAACGTTTCCAGATTTCTTACTTTTTGCATAATCAGTTTTTCAAATAAACCCTGAAATAGAACTAAAGCAAGTTTGATCACTAGTGCTGCACGCCCAATTAAACTTCTCTCAATGCATTACCAGTCATCATGTAAAGGTTAACACTAATAAAGATACCAATCCTTTGCTTTTAACCAACATCCCACTTGGAAGTACGCTGTGAAACGGGAATGTATTAATCTGTGGGGTTTTTCTGAGGAGAAATATCGACTTTCTTAAATCGACAGTGTAATTAATGTAAATAATATCCTACTTTTATATTTTGTGAGCTGTAATCGACACTTCATAGTGTATATTCAACGGACAATAATCAGATATATATCTTTCACTGTCATTATGTAAATATTTTACTTTTTAGTTCCGTTTAATTTTCTATTTTGAGACGTTTCTATTTTATGATTAAGTCAGTTTATTTCCTACTCTTTTTAAATGTCACATAATGCCTCGTTTATTGCCTCCGAAATTGTGATCAATAAAAAAAAGGTACAGCTTTTATCTATTTATCTTAATCATGCAAATATGTAAAGACTAACGTTGAGCCGCGTCAACGTCAGAAACACTGATGGTGTGTAAGGGCGAAACACAACACGGATCAAAACTGAGGAAAGCTTCTCAGTTTCATGAAGCTTCACGTTGAGGCATAACAGGAGGATACACGTCAGAGACTCATGAAACGACTCCAACAGGGACTGATAATTAACTGCGATAATCTCACCAGCTACTCTTTTACAGTAAGTCGCCCAGACCAAATGTGTGTGTGAGGATAGCCCC